CCACAAGAATAAAATCATCAGCTCATCTCTTGTTAATAAAGGTGATCTTTTCCCTATAAATTTTACTTTTCTGGCAGAGAAATGATCAAGTTAGTCTCTGTCATCAAGCAAAAGGAATTCTATAACACAGAGATTTTCTTTATTAAAATATAAGACTGAAGAATCAAAAGAGATTCTAAAAGTGTCACCCAACCATTTTAGTCAGAATGGATGTTTTGAACCAAATTTCTATTCAAGATTGAATATTCATTTTTTTTTTAATTTCAAAGTGTGCAACAGAATCCTTTCAAGCAGGCTGGACATTCTTGATTTCAATTAAAGAGTGAAGAATTGTCAAAATGATCCAAGTTTGCCACCTAACTTCTTCAGATAGACTGGACTTAATTTAATTCAATTCAGGATTGAGGATCTGTTCCATTTAACCCATTCAGCACAGGTGAACTTTAACTGTTTATCACTGGAGGCATTCCAAGGCCCAGTTGAACCATTAAGCCATATCATTAAACCTGGACCTTTCTGTGTAAGTCAAGTATGGGCAGGAGTCCATGGATACCCACTTAATCTGAAGGCACAGGTGATGCATCTTTATTGAGGAATCTAGCTTGTGTCATCTATATATATAAAAATCAATGTTTCTGTGTTTGTTTCACCCCTATAGACTCGGAAACTACTGAACCGATTTAGCTGAAATTTTCAGGATATGTTTGTTGTGATACCGGATTTTGAACCGTCGTGGTTTGAAATTCAACCTGTCACTATTAGAGATAGGTGACCACAATGTATGCGATAATATACGCAACTAATATTTATAACTTTAGTGATTTCTAATTATAGCCACGTTACGTGGGATCGATTTACCGTGCATGCGCAGTAGTGACGCTCTATCGTCAACATCCGCCCGCAAGGAAAATGTCTATCGGTTATCAAGAAATATATAAAAAGGTAAGAGCATTTATTTAAGTAACATTAGTCAGTATGTTCATGTTTTTTGTTTAATTTTAAACAAATGTGGACCACTTCTTAAATCCCGCAATGATAAATGTATACACATTATCATTAACTATTATCGTGCATGTCGTAAGAAACAGACGAGCAACGTGGGGTGAGACTGACTGCAAACCAGTATGTACATGTTTTTTGTTTACTTCAAACAAGTGTGCACCACTTCTTAAATCCCGCATTGATAAATATATACACATTATCATTATTCCCCGTGTGGGTTCAGGGGTCCCATTGTCATTGTGGGGAAGACAATACATGTGTGGACCACTCCTTAAATCCCACAATGATAAATGTATGCACATTATCTGTTGGCTTTTTTATATTGTCTTATATACCGCCTTTTCTTACTATTTGCTGCCCAGTTTCTATGCATTTCCTCTTGAGTCAAAATAGATTGTTATCAGCTCATGCTCATATTTTCATTTATTTCAGCGATACTTCAAGTCAACTTTCATCATGAGGATGAACAAGCTACTGATGATCAGCGCTCATCTACACCTAAAACACGCAAGAGGAGGACATTAATTGCTTCAAAAACAGACGAGCATCGTGAGGTAAGACTGGAAACCATTCGAGTGCGCACTGCTGAAGCTCGTTCATCTCAGTCAGACCAGCAACGGAAAGCAAGACTCGAAAACGTTCAAATGCGCACTACTTTATCCAGGCGAACACTGCATGTTGATTTGAATCTTGGTGCATTCCATTACACCAGCAATTATGATTGGTCTTCATCCACTCTCGCTTATTGGCAAAATGGATAAATTGTGCGTACATTGCAGTGCCTTCAAATTTAAGAATGACATGCCGGGTATGTGCTGCGCTGGTGGAAAAGTTAAATGGCCAGTATTACATTCACCACCCGAACCATTATCATCATTGGTAGTAGGTGACACAGGCCAGTCGACACATTTCTTGGCAAACATAAGTACATTTGCAAATATGTCAACAAAGGAGGCGATGTGGCAGTCTTTGGAGTGGGACATGCAGCTGCATCTATCGATGAAACCAAGCAATATCAGCTGGGGCGCTACATTAGTAGCAATGAAGCGGTATGGCACATTTTCTCATTTCCAATTCATGAATGACATCCAGCAGTTGTTTATTTGGCAGTGCACCTTGACAGTGGACAGCGCGTGTACTTCACTACAGAGAATGCACATGCACGAGCATTGTTACCACCGCCAACCACGTTAACTGATTTTTCTCATTGTGTAGAGATATGTTTGCAAAGACACTGCTTTACTCTCACCTGCCAATATACTACACATGGAATGCATCAGCTAAAAAGTTTCAACGTTGTAAGCAAGGTCAAGCGGTTGACGGACATCTTAATTTATATTCTACTGATATTTTAGGCCGTGTGTACACTGTTCATCCCAAAAATGCAGATTGCTTTTACTTGCGATTACTTTTAATCAACAAACGGGGACCGACATCCTTCCAGGACTTGAGAACAGTTTATGGTAAAGTATGCGCTACTTACCGTGAAGGTTGCCAAGAATTAAATCTTCTTGAAAATGATGCACATTGGGACACTTCACTCGCTGATGCTTCGAATACTGCTCGACCACAGCAAATACGCACATTGCAATAATATTAACAACTTGCTTCCCATTCATTCCAAAAGAGCTTTGGGAAAAATACAAAGACTACATGAGTGAAGATATCCTGGCGTGAAACGAAGCATGATCAGGACCTTCAATTAATACCAAATGTATATAATGAGGCATTTGTTTGCATTGAGGACATATGTTTGACAATAACTAACAAAGCACTGGTTCAGGTGGGACTGGCTCCACCAGAACAATCTGCAAACAACCTTTTCGATCGTGAGTTGCCATGAATCCGAACATCTAAGACAAATTACCAGGCGGTGTGACAACGTATAAGTCTATCGATACTGTAATGAATCAGGACGAAATTGTTAATTATCCAACTGAGTTCTTAAATTAACTTGATTTGCCAGGCATGCCACCCCACATTTTAACCGTGAAAATTGGCGAGCCCATCATTCTTCTCAGAAACATCAATCCGCCACGTCTTTGCAATGGTACCAGGCTTTCAGTGAAAAGGCTGATGCTCAATATCATCGAAGTTACTATTTTAAATGGGAAATTTAAGGTCGAGAAAATTTACTTTTGCCACGCATCCCAATGATTCCAACAGACATGCCATTTGACTTCAGACGCTTGCAGTTTTTGGTGCGACTCGCCTTTGCAATGACCATAAACAAATCACAGGGACAAACCCTACAAGTGTGTGGACTACGTTTGGAACATCCATTATTTTTACATGGGCAGCTATATGTGGCCTGTTCACGCGTCGGAAAACCTTCTAATTTATTTGTGTACGCACCAGACGGAAGAACAAAGAACATTGTTTACCCAAAAGCACTTCAGTAAACACATTTTTAATGTTTAATTACCGGCACAATGATCCAATATCATTACATTTTGTTAAAGCGATTTTCCTTTCAATTCACTTTCTATTGTAGCAACGCGTGCAGGGTTGTTTACAGCAATTAGCAAATGTGTTCATTTCGTAATTATGGTGTATTTTTCCTCTTTTCATTGCTTTTCACTAGGGTAATTCTTCCAACTGTTTCGATGAAGGAGAAAGTAGTATGTGAACTGGGGGATGGGTGGTTACAATAAACTGTTTACTGAGATAGATTTAAGTTACAGTAACTGCCTTACCCACTCAAAGTTTTATTAGCTGTGGTTTAGCTGTTGCACTGTACATCGCTAGCGTGAAGCGAAGACACATTTCTATGTTCTCTATTTTCCATGTAGCCAAATTACGCCACAGCAACGCGTGGCCGGGTACAGCTAGGAAAAAGCGTTAATGTTGGTAGCAGAAGTTGGTAGCTACGAGGTTGTCAATTATCCAACTGAGTTCTTTAATTCGCTTTATTTGCCAGGCATGCCACCCCATGTTTTAACCTTGAAAGTTGGCGTGCCTGTTATTCTTCTCAGAAACATCAATCCGCCACATCTTTGCAGTGCCCAATATCATCGTAAGTACAATTTTACATGAACATTTAAGGGCCAGGATATACTATTGCAACGCAATTCCAACAGACATGCCATTCAACTTCAGATGCTTGCAGTTTCTGGTGCGACTCACCTTAGCAATGACCATCAACAAATCACAGGGACAGTCAGAACAATTGTGTGGACTACATTTGGAACATCCATGCTTTTCACATGGACTGCCATATGTGGCCTGTTCAAGCGTCGGAAAACCTACTGATTTATTCGTGTACGCACCAGGCGGAAAAACTAAGAACAATTACATTTTAAATTGCCTGTTTTTTCCTAAGGATTTGTAAACAGCACAATGATCCAAAATAAATACTACATATTGTTATATCGACTTTCCTTTCAATTGAATTTCTATTAGAGGCGTAGCAACGCGCGCTTGGTACAGTTTACCATAGCAATAATTTCGTAATTATTGTGTATTTTTCCTGTTTTCATAGCTTTTCACTTGGGTAATTTTTCCGACTACTTCGATGTACGAAGCAAGATTTCTATTTTCTTTCTTTTCAATTCAGCCAAACTATGCCACAGCAACGCGTGGCCGGGTACAGCTAGTCAGCATATACAAATCACTTAGCTAGGCCTAGCAATTATTAATAAGCACAGTATGTTTTAAATTATGAATATTTCTGTTTTATTTTAGACAAATGATCCCCTATGGGAGTGTGTTAGTTCAATCAATCAATCCTCATCACACCTAGAGGCAGAGAGAGTTAGTTTTAGAACAGATATTTTCAGCACTGTCTGTTTATAAGATAGGGCTTCCATCCTTTCTTACCTGACTGTTATCTTCAATAATGAGAATATCAGTTTATCAGACATTTAACTTTCTCATCATATTATATCTAATAAATAATTTTTTTTTAATTAATTATTCTTATCTTTAAAATATTAGTGTACAGACATATACACAGCATGTATACACAGCATGCATTACATGAAACAACAGTTACTTACCTTAAGATTCTGCTCAAGCTGTTTGTATTCTTTAACAATCTTTGATACGTTTACATGGTGTTCTAAAAATAAAAAATAAAAATTCTGTTTTCTCCATAGTGGCCTGACATACAACATGTTAAACAGTATTAAAAGATATCCCTGACAACCTTCCTATTTTCCTTCTTTTTCTTTTCTTTTATATTCTCCTCCCCCCTCCATCTTCTTATTTTTTTTTCTACCTGCATCTCCCATTGGAGCATAAGCCCTAACTCACATTAGCTTTTTTTTAATTATTGATTGGTGTGTAACTGCTGATCTGTTTGTAACTGCTGCTTTCGTCAATGATGAACTGCATTTCTAATGTTGGAATGTTCATGTTAGCACTTCTGCTTTTAATGCATGTTAATGGTAGTGAATAAGCTGAGACTGCAGTCTGTGTCAATTTTCCACAAGCGACAGTAAGGGGCATTCTGTGTGTTTTTTGTTGGCACAGCAACGGAGCAGCTATGGGGTGACCTGTTTGCTATTTAGCTAAAATTAAGATTACCAAGATATCACATTAAGCTCTCCCATCCATTGCTGTCTCCTGCAGCTCCTTTAATGTCATATTATTTATCTTGGTTTCTAATTCACTTTTTGCGTTTACAATTCCCTCTACTTCTCCTCTTTTGCTTTACATACAAATAAAATAAGATAACAGATACTGCCACAATAAACAGAGAGACACAATATGTGGACACAAAAGAGTTCAATGGGAGTAGACCATGAGGCAGAACAAGAAGACACTGGAAACAGAAGACCAATCACAGAGATGAATAAAGGCGGGTGGCATCTGCAGCAAAGAAGCTCAAATGCTTGAAAGGCTGAAGTAAAAGAAGCTGTGATGTGGGATGTAAAATAGTAAATCTTTTTTTTTTAAATGGTCACAACATAATGTGGTGCATCTTCAGAGTGCTTTCCCTTCACAAAAGGACATTTCTATAAAATGTCTATACCATTTTAACAATTAGTGGGCATTAATCTTGTGAAGAAGATACAGAGGATTTTAGTTCATCACATATCACACTGATGTGAACAAAACACTTCTGCTAGTATGGATTCAACACAAGATCAATATGACAGTACCAAAACAGGTTCTTTTGTAATATCCTACCCCAGTGATGTCACAGGACAGACCAACATTTTACAGGGTGGTAAGACTGGGTTTCCCTGCTTTCTGATGTTGTTAATGACCCCTTAAACATCTAGAACTGGCCCTAATCCCAACCCACCTATGTCCCACGACTGCATTCAGCCTAGGTCCCACGACTGCATGCAGCCTAACTACCACCCACTTAAATATTAGACTGTCCTGTGACCTGTGGATTTCCCCTGCTTGGGGTAGGATATTAAGAAAGCACCCTAAAACAGACTCTGAAACCTGGAGTACAAATACAATCTTCAAAGGGAAGCCTTATTGCAAACATTTGATAAGAGAGTACTGAGACACAGAGTAAGGGCTAACAGACTGCATGGCTGGGACATGTAGAGAGAATAGCACATAACATAGAAACAAAAAACTATACACAAAAGAGATGACTTGGCATAGGCCACAACGCAGACCAAGAAGACTAGGAAAAGATAACATTCAGTCAGACCTAAAACATTCAGAGACCATCTGGATAGAGAAGGCCAAATACAGAGATAAATGAGGTGTAATATCTGCAGCAAAGAACCTTAAGGGCCTGAAAGGATTAAGAAGAAGGAGGAGGACGAAGAGAAAAACAAAAAGAAGAAGTTGGTTAAGTGAAGATCACAGTGAAAGATTTACAGAAGACACAGAATGCAAAAGACCAAAAGAAAATATGATCTTTGCATCACTTTGCATACAAATCATTTTTAAAAAAAATATTTTTTTTTAAGGAATGAAACCCAACCAACTTTAGCAAATAGCATTCAACAAAAACAAAACAAAAAACATCTGGAAATAGTGCCAGAAAATGACAAAGAAAAATACTGTGATAGACAATACTAGAAGACATGGAGTTGACACTGGGGAGTCACCATGGCTGAGCGGCTAGACATTAACAAAAAGTGCAACTTCCTTGCAGCATAAGCCTAGGCCTTCCCAACCCTGAGCCTAATGGCACAGGTCAATTTGGAAAAAAGCACCATCCATTTGGGACTAAAAAACAGTCAGGTAGACCTAATACTGCATACCAGTAAGACCAGCTATTTCCAGAGTCAATTTTGCCCAACATCAGATGGCAAATAGTTAACTGATATGATAAGGCCACCAAGCTGTGTGACTATAAAAGACTCAAAGTTACAGTGGTATTAATTGATCTACTGGAATTTGGAGTTAAAACGGAAATACATGGTATCGATGGATCTTCACATAATCAATCAGCAAGTACTTTACAGAATATCGCTCTCTTCTTTTCCTAGCCAGCTCTCCAGCCACATGTGCTTTCAATGCTAATGCATCTTCAATGTCCTGTATCTATCTTCGTGGAGGTCAACCCCTGCTTCGTTTTCCACAAAAATGCACCCTCAATCACTGTCTTTTCCAAGTCATCCCGACGTTTGATGTGGCCAAAATACTTCAACTTTCAGGACAGGACACTGTATCGATGGATTCACTTATGTTCCACCAGAAAAGGCAATAAATAAAAGAGAAGAACTAAAACTAAAGATACTGACACATACATTGAGAAAATATATGTCATAGCCAATTATATCAAGGACGGTTTTCTAACAGTGGTATGTAGATTATGTATTAATAATCATCAAAAGCAACAAGTCACCACTATGAACATAAAAATGTACATAAGAATAAGACACTAAGACATTACATATTATTGTTTCTAGACATAATCAGAAACTGACAGTATGGAACCATTCAATGATCATTGTACAGAAAAGAAACATAGACAAGCCAATACTTAAAGGTCCACAACTTTGCATCAATCCAGTTTAAATATGACCTAGAAAGAATCCTGTTCAACTGTGCCAAAAAGATGTACTGAAGCCAGACTGGCAGAAGAAATAGATTTCTGGTAATCTGGTAATCTAGTAATCCTAGTTTCAGCTTCATAGCAAACGGGTCACCCCAATGTTGCTCCGCTTCTGTGCCAACGAAAAACACATGTCACGCCATGCACTCAACTCAGAAGCTGGACGACGAAACTATATCCTTCCAGTCTACAAATGGAACAAAAATGCAACGGCCACCGTCTGGCAAAAAAAAAAAAAAACATTTGCCACGGCTTAAAAAAAAAAAATATTAAATTAAAAAAAAAGTGGCCGTGCCTAGCGTCCATTTTGACCGGAAGAATTATATGAGGGTTAATAAACGGTCACCCCAGCAGTACCCTCATTATTAGCTGGGGAAGGGACTTAGGACATTACATCCACCAGCAGGCATCGCCCCTACAACAACTTGCCTGCCTTCGTTAACGACTGTTCACCCAACAGCCATGCAGTTCTTTGGCACGAAGGAGACACCTTGAACTTGGGTTTCAGACTGCCGACTCCCTACAAGATGTTATTTTATGTTTTGTTATCACAATTGATGTCACTGCACATTGGGCATACCCATGCGTGCTCAGTTCTCCGAAGCAGAAGCCACTCCAAAGTACTTTTACTAATTGTCCCCATGAGAAGCTGGTTATATTGTCTCCTTTCTCGGCCTCGAAGACGGCCAAGACATGCATCACCATGCTTAACTCCCATGTCACGCAATCGTGTGAGTGTCAGGAATTCCTCATTCTCCACTAGTCCAGTTCGTACAGCGTTGACGATGTCTGCTCTTTCCATGCTTTTTCCCACAATCATTAGTGCAGTGCTTGCCAGCTGGTCCGCTCGCTCATTTCCCTTCGTGCCCGTATGACCCGGTGTGTAGATCCAGGTTACGTAGGTTAAGTGCGATTTCCGAATGCTTTCTATCTATTCAGAGCGCATACTGCCTGTTTCTATCTTCTGAAGCATATTCATTGAGTCTGAGACAATTACTGCCTGTGTGGCCGTTTGCTCGGATACCCATGCTAAAGCTCTAGAGAAGCAGCGGCTATTTCCATTGTCATGCTTGACATGGTTGTCTAGTAAGCGCCGCAGTCCTCATGTATTGTTTTCCCCCTTCTTTGGGCTGTGTATGCCCATGCTGACCTTGATGAGGATATCTTCTGGGTCTGAATGCTGATCTATCAGTTCCCTTACTTCTGTTTCTACGGCCGCAGGAATTTGATCCACCTTAGAGATGCCATGCATGTCTGCTGGTCTATTCGTCCATTCTTTTCGGGTGACTGATCACGTCTAGGAGAAATAGATTTGCTGAAGACTACCACCTTCTATCTAAATGAGTACCATACCGGATTAATCAAACATCAAGGCCACCTGTCTAAACCTAGAGCCAACAAAACATTGGTTTTAAACACTTAAGATAATTAAAGTTAACTTTCAAGAAGATGATGTAAGGCAACATTCACAGAACTAAGTAAAAACAACTGTTTGCCAAATATCATGTTTCGTATCCACTAAGGGGCCGAATAGTGGACCTAATAACTATTTGGTATTCTGCCGAATATCAGTCACCACACACTGACAGATATACTGAAGATCTGAGCTGTTATGGACTTGTCAGAGGTGCAATGAGGATAATTTGTCAATGAACTAAATAACTAGGGAGAAATATAGTTAGCTTTTCAAAATACAATTTTCCACACATATTTACACCAATAATATGCATCACATACAGCTACAATTATTGAACTGTGTTATTTGTCAATTACAAATACACTGCTGCTTAGTATTAATTATAGAACTATGGCAGCCGCAGTATTGCAGTGGTTAGATGCTTGCCTGCTGGCCTGAAGGTATTGGGTCAAATCTGCATTGAGAAAGATTTGTTTTTATACCCAGGCTGACTCAGCATAAAATGGGTACCAAGACAAAAAGTTGGCCAACATGACAGTGAAATCACCCATTAAGTGCTAACTGGTCTACAAACATACGGTCTGGCACCAAATATCTGGCACCATATGACTAGACTATTGTGTCACAAGTAAATGAATCTTTACTTCCCTTTTACTTATAAGTATTT